GCCACTGGGCTCTCTGTTCTTCTCTGTATATGTATTTCAACATCATCCTTTCATGATTGTTTTTACTTTAATGAGCTTCTAATTTATTTTTGTATATGATAGGAAGTAGGCATTTAACTTCATAGTTTCCCAAATAATGAGTCAGTTCCAACCCAGTATAGATTTAAAATGCCAAATCATTGACTATGTTTTATAATATACTACAGCCTGTTGGGGGCTTTTTCTTTGCTTCCCCCGATTTATCTATTTTTACTCCTGCATCAGTATTGAGCTTTGTGTACCTTTCCCTGTTCTTCCTCATTACTCGCCCTTTTTAGCTTTGGCCTGACTGTTCCCATTTGTTTTGTTTTTCAGATGAAATTTAGAATTGCTTTCTTAAGTTTTCACCCCTCAATCCTCTCGATACCTTAATTGAAAGTGTGCTAAGGTAAAACTGGATATGGCAAAGTTGATGTCTTTTCACTGTTGTAGTGTCCTGTCCAGGAGCACAGCACATCTTCCACTGTGTCCTTTAATGCCCCTTCCTTGTTGAAAGTCTGGTGCATTTCTTCTTAAACTTATTGTCAGGTATGTTGAGGTTTTTATTGCTATTGTGAGTGTGGTCATTTTATTATAGTTTCTGTTTATTACTAGTAGGAAAGCTATTGACTCTCCTGTATTTACTGTGGAATTTTTTATGGGTAATTTTTTCTTTATAGTTTTCATTGGTTAGAAAAAATTTAAATACCAGCTATCAAAATAACAAAAACCAAATTTCCGTAAGCCCACTAGACTTACTTGTGGGCTTTCCCTCACATATTTATCTGCAATTTTATGACTTAAAATCGAGTCATACTATATAAATGATTTGCAACCTAGCATAATTTTTGGATCTCTCTCTCTCTCTCTCTTTTTTTTTTTTTTTTTTTTTTTTTTTGAGACAGGGTCTCACTCGTCACAATCTCAGCTCACTGTAGCCTCAGCCTTCCGGGCTCCAGTGATCCTCCTGCTTCAGCCCCCCACATAGCTGGGACTACAGGTGTACATCACCACACCTGGCTAATTTTTTTGTATTTTTAGTAGAGACAAAGTTTCATCATGTTGCCCAGATTGGTCTTGAACTGGATCACTTTTTTAAATAAACTTTATTTTAGAACAGTTTTAAATTGACATAAAAATGGCAAGGATGGTACGAAGAGTTCTCATGCATCCCACCCCTGCTTCCCTGGTATGAATGTTTTCCATTAATATGGTACATTTGTCACAATGAATGAACCCAATACTGGTGTGTTATCATAAATTAAAGTCCGCACATGACTTGAATTTCCTCAGTCTTTCCCTGCTGTCCCCTTTCTGCTCCAGGACCCCCTCCATGACACCACACTGAATTTAGTCACAGTCTCTGTAGGCTCCTTTTGATGGTGACACTTTCTTGGACTTGCCCTGTTTTCAATGACCCTGACAGTTTTGAGGAGGACTGGTCAGGTATTTTGTAGAATGTTCCTCAGTTGGTGTTAGTCTGATGTTTTTCTCATGACGAGACTGGGATTTGGGGTTTGAGGGAGGAAGAGCACGGAGGTGCAGGGCCGTTCCCATCACACTGAATCAGGGACACGCACTGTCAACAGGACTTACCCCTGCTGATGCTGACCTGGGTCACCTGGCTGATGGCGTGTTTGTCAGGTTTCTCTACTATAAAGATACTCTCTTCTACTCTGATTCCACATGGTACCCTTTGAGAGCAAGTCACTAAGCACAGCCTCTAATTAAGGAGTTGGGGGTTATGCTTTGTCTTCTTAAGGACAGGATATCTATATACATTATTTGGATTTGTTCTGTATGGGAGATCTGTGTTCTCCCCCATTTATTTATTTAATCCTTTGAATCCAAATTCGTATGGATTCATGAATATTTATTTTTTACTTTGGGCTATAATCCAATTTTTTTTTTGTTGTTTTCTTGCTTAAATTGTTCCAGCTTTGGCCATTGGGACCTCTTTCAGATGGCTCCTGTGTCCCTTTGACTTAACCTCTTTAGTGTGTGTGTGTGTGTGTGTGTGCGCGCGCACGTGCACACACATTTATCACTTCCTTACTTACCGGCACTAGAAGATATTCCAGGCTCATCTTGTATGTTTCCTGCCCCAGTCCTGGAATCAGCCATTTCTCCAAGGGAGCCCCATTTTTCATTGGAGAGTGGTGTTAAAGGCCAAGCTCTGGTGCTAGGTGCTCTTTGCTACTGAGCAGGTTGCTTCTAGGCCCTCTCAGCTGACAGAACAGGAAGTTATGCATGCATGCCAACCTTGTATATACACACATCTTTAAATATTTCTCTGTGTAACCATGTGCATCGACATGGAGCTTATGAGTTCATACTGGTGTCTCTGGTGCTAAGCCATTACCCATGGATCATTCTAGCTCCTTCCCTTGCTTATGTACCTGGCATCAAACTAAACTTACCAAGACCTCTATGATACATTTTCATTTGGTTAAATTTAAATATGTTTTATAAAATAGTCTACAAAAATGTCATGTAGTTGTTTATTCATTTAAACAGGGTCTTATTCTGTCACCCAGGAGTGCAATGGCACACTCATGGTTCACTGCAGCCTCAACCTCCCAGGCTCAAGCAGTCCTCCCACCTCAGCTTCCCAAGTAGCTGGGACCACAGGGGCATACCATCATGCCCAGCTAATTTTTTTATTTTCATTTTTGTAGAGACGGGGTCTTGCTGTGTTGCCCAGGCTGGTTTCGAACTCCTGGCCTCAAATGATCCTTCCACCTCAGCCCCCTAAAGTGCTGAGATTACAGTCATGAGCCACTGCACTCAGCCCATTTTGGCTTTTTGCTTCTTATCTAAATATAGCTATTAACAATGCCAAGTTTAAGGGCAGCTAAATGAGGTGGCAAAATAGCTTAACACAGCAGAAAAAGGGGGAAAACTGGAAATGCATTGGTACTTAGAAATTAGGTGGCAAAAAATCAGTGAAGTCTGGGATGTCAGCAAGAATGATGGGGTACACAGCCCCATGGGCCCGTCCCCCAAAGAAACATTGAAAAATCTAACAAAACCGTCTCAACCAACTTCATCAAAACTTTGAAAAATAGGCGAAGGTTTACAGCAACCAAGCAAATGCTGAATCAAGAAAAAGGCAAGCGGAGTATGGTGACTCATGCTTGTAATCCCCGCACTTTGAGAGGCTGAAGCAGAAGGATCGCTTGAGACCAGGAGTTCAAGACCAGTGGGGAACAAGCAAGACCCTACCTCTAAAAAAAGAAAAATAAGAAAAAAAAATGATAGGAGAGCTGGGTGCAGTGGCTCACGCCTGTAATCCTAGCACTTTGGGAGGCCAAGGCAGGCTGATCACAAGGTCAGGAGTTTGAGACCAGCCTGGCCAACATAATAAAACCCCGTCTCTACTAAAAATACAAAAATTAGCTGGGCATGGTGGCAGGTGCCTGTAATCCCAGCTACTCAGGATGCTGAGGCAGGAGAATCACTTGAACCCAAGAGACGGAGGTTGCAGTGAGTCGAGATCATGCCACTGCCCTCCAGCCTGGGTGACAGAGTAAGACTCTGTCTCAAAAAAAAATAAAAAATGGTAGGAGAGCCTTGTGATGACTCTATTTACCCTCCTCCCACCCCCCAATCTTGAAGGCAGCAGTATATTCTGAGCATGGGACCTGGTCTCTGCTTCTGGAGGCAGAGCACACCTTACTCGAAAAGAAGTGGGTATTCTCACCAGTCTGGTGGCTGCCTGAAGGGCTGACACAGGCACTTGTCATTGTTTCACCTAACTCAGAACCCACTTGCTGCAGAAGAGTGGCAGACATTGCTTGGAAACATTGTAAGGCAAGTAACTTGCAGCTTCCTGGAGCTAAAAAGTATAGTTGAGGCAACAATGAAGCACTGAAAGCTCTGGAAGAAAAACTGAGGAGAGAGATGCTTTTGGAAATTAGAGCATTCAAAAGTACCTGTGGATACCAGGAAATGTAGAAAGCCCCATACATGCGCAGGGAGCTTGCATGCTCAGAAAAGAGCTAAGAAGACCTGAGTTTCACCTGGGGGTGGTCTCTATGCTCAGTGCAAGTAGGAAGTGAAGGCTAAGGTAGAGCTGTGAACAACCTGGCTAAGCAATGAAGGAGGCCCCAGCACAAAGTCATTCACAAAACAGATTGGGAGAAGTTTCTGTTACTTTTTCTGTCTCTCTCTGTCTCTGTTTCTCTCTCTCTCTCTCTCTCTCTCTCTCTGTCTCTCTCTCTCTCACTCTCTCTCTCTCGGCTTCTGAATCTGAGATGCCCACTCCATCAGGGAGGCCTGGTGTAGATGATAAGGATGTTTACAAAAGCAGCAGACAGGAGGCGGCACCCAGGGCACCTGGCAGGCTGCCTATCCTTTGGGGATGCTCTCAGAGGAGGAGGGACTCTTGGTGGTGCTGGGAGTGCCCTGGAGCTCCTGTGCTACTCAGATGTCTCAGCTTTAATCTCTGGAGATTGCTGTGGTTCAGATGCGGGTCAAATGCTGGGTTGATCCTTATTCTATCTGAATACTGTAGCCCCAGGTGGGGCTCACCCCCATGGCCTCTATCTGTGGGAGGCCAGGACAGAGTTGCTCATCCAGTCAAGCAGTGGGACTAGATAGGCCTAGAAACCAGCTCCCCCACTGCAGCAGACACAGACGTGGCCCAGGTCCAGGCACCCCAACATGGGGAATGGGCTTTCCTGAAGTTGGGTGGGCATGCCTTTGGTGAAAGCAGTTTTGGGTTTTGATTTGTGGACACCTGGGAATGTGGGGTAGTGCTTGGCTGGCAGCAGCTGCTGCAGTGTTGCTAAAGGCATCTGCCTGGGGCCCTTGCCAAGCTGACACCACAGGTATGGAATGTCTCCCGTGCCGGTGTGCCAGCCACCGTGAAACTGTGAAGAATTTCCAGAGGAAGCGCAGTGGTGGGGCGTGTGGTTAGATTGTCTGCCCTGCACTGACAATGCCTCCTGTGCCTGAACACACATGTTCTCTCCATGCAGGAAGGACGTGCCCATGGAACACGTGACACACGCAGACAGAGAGCAAACCAAGAGGGTGGTATACGCGGTGGTCTATGGAGCAGGTAGGCTGCAGGCTGGAAGCTGGGGTCTCAGGGTCACCTGTAAGCTGGCAGCTGTGTGCCTGTGTTTAAATGTGGCTGTGCCTCAGAAATCATCTGTGAGTCCCTGGGTGGTGTTTATGCTCTGATGACACCTGCAGCCACCAGACACTGGCCAGACCACCCCACGCGTTGACCTGCTCAGAGTCACATCCAGTCTCTCAGGGGGAGGCCACAGAGGTGGGCAGGTCAAGTGTGACCAAGCCATTGGCTCCACCCCTACACCATACTACTGTGCTAGGCACCACTGCTGTGCTTGGAGACCTTCGAGGAGACCCTTGTCCACACACATGCCAAGACGTTATAAAGTTAGACAGCCTCACAGTGTGCAGTGCTTGGACTCATTGCCACATCTCAGCATGCACCCCATCTCCCTAGGGCAGAGCTCACCCAGCTGGGCCACACAGCCAAGGCACCCCACAGAAGGCAGAACCAGGCCTTGGGCTGGGAGCAGGACAGTGGGGATCCAATCTCAGGGGTAGCAGATAGGAGAAAGCAGAGCTAGGCCGGGAAGGACTGGAGGCCAGAGGTTTGGGCTGCCTGGGACCTCTTCTGCAAGCCTCTTCTTCCCCTTCCCTTTTCGCTTCTCTTCCTGCTTCTGCTCCTCTCCCTCCTTCCTCCTACCCCCCAGCCCCAGCGCCCATGTCAAAGCAGGCCTTCTACTCTCTTCCATTCGCCCTTCTTCTACTCTCCCTTGGACTCCCTGACATGGGTTGTCTGGGGTTTTTTAATTCTTTTCTGGCCCTGGGTAATGCTGAATCAGTGTGGCCTAATTTCCCCAGCCCGCCAGCTCCTTCTTAAGCCTGTTCAGACCTCCTTTTCCCTGTGATCAGTTCTTTGAGCAGCAGGGCTTGTGCAAAGACCCTTAAAAGAAGATTCACCATCCTGCCATGGAAACCCTTTGTTTATTCACAGAAAAGCAGCAAAACCAAACAAGCTTCAGTGGAAGAATAACGGGGCAAGCCCATAGTACATCGTCCCTAAGAGCTGCCCTGCAGTCTCCATTGAGACTGTGGTGCTGTTGAACAAGGGTCCAAAGTGCCCCACCTGGCTGACCACAGTCAGTCAGTCAGCCAGGCTGGCTCCAACCTCAGAGCTTTGCACTGCTCTTCCCTCTACCGGAACGCCTGCCCCTACACCACCAGGACCCATCCCTCACTTCTGCAGACCTGCGCTCAACTCTCCCCTGTGCAGCCTTCCTCAACCACAGTATTTGTTACCCATTTCTGGGTAACAAATTGCCAAAAACATAGTAACTTAAGATAATACACACTATCCCACAGTTTCTCTGGGTGTGGGCATGCCATAACTGGGTCCCCTGCAGGGCTGCAGTCAAGGTGTTGGCTGGGGCTGTGGTCGCATCTGTGGCTGGGGAGGGATCCACTTTGTTGGCTTCTGGTTTTTTTTGGTTTTTGTTTTTTTTGTTTTTTTTTGTTTTTTTTTGGAGACAGTCTTGCTCTGTTCCCCAGGCTGGAATGCAGTGGCACAATCTCGGCTCACTGCAACCTCCAACTCCTGGGCTCAAGCCTCCTGCCTCAGCCTCCTGAGTAGCTGGGATCACAGGCACCTGCCACCACACTCGGCTAATTTTTCGTATTTTTAGGAGAAATGGGCTTTCACCATGTTGGCCAGGCTGGTCTTGAACTCCTGACCTCAAGTGATCTGCTCGCCTTGGCCTCCCAAAGTGCTGGGATTACTGGCATGAGCCACCGCACCTGGCTGGCCTATTTCTTGCTGGCTGTCAGCCGGAGGTGGTCTCAGCTCCTTGCCACATGGGCCTCACGCCTTGGGCAGAGCCTACATCTTGGCAGCTCTGCTCTTCAAACCAGCGAGGGAGCAAGATACGCCAGCTCTGCACTCACTTGCCTGTTCATGGTCTTATGCACCAGCTCGAACATGGGCACCTCAAAGAAAGGAGCTCATCAGTTTAGCTCACTGCCTGGCACAGAGAAGACACAGGAACAAATTAGTGGACTTGGTGGTCTTATTTCCACTTTTGAAAACATTCTGATTGTGTACATGGTTTTTGGAAAATAGACTAAGAAACTTTGTTTTAAAGAACTAGATTCTGTGAGTGACAGTAATGTGACATTGGATTGATTCTCCTCAAAGTTGCTTGGTCCACTTCCTCCTCTCAGCCTCTTCTGTGCTGTACCCCTGAACCTCCCTGGGGCCTCTGTCTTGTGGGGAAGGCATCACTCTGCCAAATTATATGAGAGTTTGTTGCCTTGCATCCTGCTCCAGCATCTTGTGTTGCAAACATAACATTTGCTTCTGCTCTGCGGGCAAGACATCGCCTCCCCAATCCTGGGCCAGGCAGCCTGGACTTGATCCCCAACCCTGTCACCTCCTGACTGTGTGGCCTTGTACAAGGCCCTCCGCCTCCCTGTGCCATCTCCTCCTGGGAAAATGTTTTCATAGGGTGGACGGGGCCATACCTGGCACAGTCAGCTCTCATCTGTGTCATCTGCCATTATGTCTGACTCCTACTTCACTTCTGTGCCATGTCAATAAATGCCTCCAAGTGACTGAGCAGCTTCTGTAGGTCTCCTGTGGCAGCCCCGGCCTTGTCCCCAGCTGGGGCAGCCACCCCAAATCCAGCTAGGAGGGAGGAACACAGAATGAGAGTGCGAGCACCTGCCGTGGGGCAGCTGTGCTCCGGCAGGACGGCTGCCCTGACCTCCTCAGAAAAAGGTGGTCTTCTCTGCCACCCATTTGGCTCCTTCTGGAGTATTCACTTTCTTTTTCTTTTTTTTTTTTCCTGGAGAGGAAAAGAGCTGCATTTTGTAAATAAGTACTGAGTTATTAACCATAATGTCGAAAAGGGTAATTTGGCTGCTTTTAGCTGTGACAGTGACACGGGTTCCCACCCTGAGCCTCCGGCTCTGCTGCTCCCATTGTTCTGGTCTGGCTTGACAGCTGGAATTACTGTGTATCCACTGCTGTGGGCTTAGGCTGCATCTCTGTTCTCCTTGTGTTTGAAACTTTGTCACATGAGCTGGGACTGAGGAAGCCTGTGAACTTGCCAGGCCTCCCGGGCTGCTGGGTACCCTTTGGAAATTCCATAGAGGAGCTTTGCACCTACCGGCTTGCAGCGGATTGCAGTGACGTGTTTTCACGTAACGTACCTCTGAATGGCCCACAAATGCTGGGGGCGTGGGGCAAGGCACGGTTCCTACACATTCTTGAGAAATCGGCGACATGACTATTGTGAAAACTGTAAAGAAGATAGCAGAGGAAGCGGCAGGACTGTGTGAGAGGCAGGGGAGATGCCCCAGAGGGTGCAAGGTCTGTACGCTCAGCCCCCGCAGACACTGTGGAGGAGCTGGCAGGGAACACACGGAGTAACAGAGCAGCCACTGTCTGGGAGCCTTGACCCCAGAGGCTGGCTCACAGTCTCACTGCTCCTCTATCAGTCAACTGAATTCAAATGTCCATCCCCAGCCTGATGGCCCTGCTCATGGCTGCTGCGGAGCCCAGCAGGAACCTGCCTTCTCCTGGAAGCAGCTCCTAACTCCTCGGATCTTGCTCTGAGCCCCTTTTGCTCCTAGAGTCTAACCCTTGAGTCTTCTCAGATGACTCCATGACTCTGAAGCTTGCCTCCACATCCAGTCATCATGTGACCCACAGGCCTGTGCTGAGGGCATGCCCCCTGGGTCAGTGCCTGCTCCCGAGGGGCTCGCACCTGTCAGAGGAGACACAGGAGCAGGCCTGGGCACATAGCGCTGTGCCATCAGTGCATCTGCAGGAGTCCCTGGTACCAAGGGAGCCAGGGGAGGGACCCAGCCCAAGGAGAGTTGGGAGAGTCCAGGAGCTGGCCCAGAGCAGCAACACCCGAGCTGAGTTTTGAAAGTAGCATAGGATTTACTGTCAGGTCTGTCCCAGCTAGACCAGCCCACATTCCCAAAGGCCCACTATGTACAGGCACTTGCTCATCCCTAGAGACATAAACAGGAGTGAAAGCCTGTTAGCAATATGTGTGGAGCAGAAGAGCACTTGGAGGAAAGGGAGTGAAGATTGTCCCTGCTAAACGTCAAATTGTAGCACACACACATACATAGACTCACATGTGTACCCACCAGATAGGATTAGCTGTCTGTGGGAAGAGTCAAATTGTGTGTTCATGTAGGATTTCAGAGGTAGGGAGGACTTAGTGCCCCTAGTATGCAGATCTCTCAGGGCCTGTGTGTGAAACAGGATCAACGGAATCACAGTGTGGGAACAAGTTCTATGAAAAGAAGGAGCAGTCCACAGGAAGCGTGAGACAGAGAAGTCCCCACAGAGCCAAAAGCCATCCTGCTTGGGGAAGGGACAGTGACCTTTGAGTGTGACAGCCTCACTGCTAAGGGTGTCCAAGGAGTGAGGAGCAAGGATCCAGGGCCTGGAAGTCCTCCCGGACCCTCAGGCTCCATCTCAGTCTCTCATCCCTGCTGCTTGTGGAGCCACCACACCGTCTGCTCTCTTGTGGATGGACGTTCTTCATGCATGGGGACTGAGGCCACCCGCTGCCCTTCAGAGATCCCGACAGCTCCACAGAAGAAAGGAAAGGGATTCTCCCTTGGCCATAAGTATTTAGAAAGCAAGGCATGACTTCTGGTGATGGCCAAGTCGCTCCGATTGGAGCAGCCCTCCTGCAGGGATCAGCTTTAAACTGTGGAAAATGTATAAAAAGACAACTACCCAGAGGCACTGGGAAGTGACCAGAGCAACAGCAGTTGGAGGTCAGCTGACACCTGGAGGAAAGGAATGGCACTGGTGAATTTCTCATTCTATAGCCCTTACCTGAAGGCAAACCTCAGTTGATGCTGTGGGGACAGAAACTCTGCTAGGAACATACAATCCTACTAGCTTAAAGAACTGGAGGACAGAGTTCTGGACAACCAGAGGATCTGGAAAGTGAAGGGAGAAATTCTAGAAAGAAGAGAGCCAGGAAATGAGGCCAAATTCCAGGTATGAACTCTACT